TTAACGCGCATTTTTTGAAATAAAATTGTAATGTACAGATGTTCCAAAATTGAGATATAGGTGTTATAATTTTTAAATATTTTTGTTGTATTTATGCATTCTACGTAAAATTCTGAGTATTTTTCATGTAGCACGCCCTATGTCGATATCCAGCTATCATCCAGATATTCATACTGCCACAATGTATACCAAAATTTATGGTAAAAAGGGACTGAAGTGATCATGGCACTGAATTACGAGTAACAAGAAGAAATCTCGCAAGCAACTATACCTATTCTGTAACAACTGTTTTCACAAACTAAGAATAAGACGTTGTTTATGAATGAATTCAATGATGAATAAAATGATGTTTTGTATCAATAGAAAAGCAACGACTAAAAAATGAAAAAGTTTATAACCCTTAATATTATGTTGGGTAAGTAATTAGCCGTATTACCAGGAATGCCTTTCAAGATTTTTCTATCAAAGGCGTTAAACAATAATAATGCTAATCCTAAAAAGAGGATTCAATCTTAACTTATAAAGGGCTATGAACAGAAGAAAAAGCATCAACTTTTTTTTATATACAACAATTAAAACTGGTCTAGTTAGAGCAATCATAGATAATATACAGGTTGATTCAAAAAACCGCTGACAGATTTCTAGGGCAGGTAATACATCAAAAATTAAGATGAAAAGTCTTAATATACATGGGCTTGCAAATGCCACCTGAATGAGATATAATGGTGTCAAAGTTTCTTTAAAATTAAACATTATCTGCAATAAAAAAGGCTTTTTTAAAAATATTTTCAACGCCACTGCTAATTTTGTCAATCAAACAAGTATTTTCGTGTAAAGTGATCAATTATCTATTAATTGGTCTCTTACAAATCTTTGATTAAAGCAACAATTTTTGATTGGATTAACAAATTTTCTACAAGCGTGTTTTTTTTAAACTATTGCTTTGATCAAAGTTTTGTAAGAGACCAATTGATAGATAATTGTTCACTTTACACGAAAATACTGCCCGTTTGACTAAATTAGCAATGGCGTAGAGAATATTTTTAAAAAAGGGCTTTTTATTGCAGATAATGTTTAATTTTAAAGAAAGTTTGTAACTTTGCTTTATCTCATTAAGGAGGCATTTGCGACCACATGTATATTAAGACTATTCATCTTTATTTTTCATGTATTATCTACTCTAGAAGTCTATCAGCGGTTTTTTGAATCTCCCTGTATATATCTGAATTCTTACAACTTACACCAATAAAAGACTCTAAAAAAGTTACCCATATTTTATTCAACACTTCCACATTCTCATGTAGGTGGAGTAGTTCTTTGTGCTTCTTTGCATACCTTTTGATTTCTTCTTTGACCATTGGGATTTTAAAATCTCTGTATATATCCTTATTCCTTATATACAGTGTAAGGAATCATGCGTCTGTATTACTTGGATATGGTTCCCTTTCGCACACCCCCAGAGTTGTATACCATATAACCATACAGGTTTTAAGTTCTAAATGTATACAATAGTTTTGTTATATGTACAATGATGATCTAAATTTAATATTCATTTCTTTCTTTTTCTCTCGTACAACAACTTAGTCTTCAATAAACATGGGGTACCTCAAGGTTCTGTATTGGGTCACATGTTATTCTTAATCTTTATGCAGACAAAAAGTATTCTTTTTGCTGATAACACCACGATTAAATGTATCTGCCTCCTCACAAGAAATGAGACAATTTATCATGCTATCTCTTAATTAAATGAGTCTAAAACACATGTTTTATATTTCTCTCTGAACTTGATTTAAACTATCAATCTGAATTTATTAAATATTTCGGTATCTATTTAGATTCAAAGCTAACGTGGGATGCACACGTTTTTAAGATTACAAAAAAAATAAACAAGAGCATATTTGCAATAAGAAATTTAGTCAATATAGTACTACTCGAGGTAGTAATAAAGGCCTATTATGGCTGTTTTTATCTTCACTTATCTTATGCGATCCTGTGCAGGGGGCACTGTGCGCATGCGTTACAAGTATTCCGAACTCAGAGGCGATATGTCAAGGTGATGGCTGGTATAGGTTTTGCTGAGTGTTGTCGACAGAAGTTTATTGATTACAAACTTTTCACTTGCATGATGCACGTTAGGAAAAATCTGCCTTCTTACTTAAAAAATAATGACTGTCACAATTGCAATACCCGAAATATGAACGATCTTATTACAAATTACAACCGAACGACTAGGGCGAGAGATGGGCTGAATTATTATGGTATTAAATTTTTTAATGCGTTACCGACATTCAAACATTACCAACTCTATCTTTTAGATGCACGACTGTAGCATTCTTGACCGCCAGTGCCTTTTATAACTTTGACGAATTCTTAGGGCTGATTTTGGTTCTATTGGCCAGACTGGTGAACAGCAAATATTCTTGTCCAGTATTTCTTGTGTATATTTTTTGTTAAGAAATGTTGTATCCTTTTATGGCGTGTGAAAATACTTAATGTATGAAAAGCACGAATAAATTATTATTATCATTACATAAACCTTCCATCTCAACTTGATGTCGAGTGTCATTCCTAGTATTTTGCCATGTATGTTGCATTGTTCCGCTAATAGTCAAAGGTGGAGGGTTAATTAGATTTTTGCCATTTAACTTTACTACAATACTTTATCAAACGCTTGTACTCCATCTAGGAATAATACGGAGAAAAGTTGTTTTTCTTCGAGTACTCTCTCTATGACATTTGTAATACGATGAACTTGGTCGATTATTGAATGCTATAACGATTAATGAATAATATTATTTCAGTCAGAAACCAAACTGGTGATCAAGTATTAAATTAGTTTTTTCAATGATTGGTTCAATTCGTTTTACGAATAGCTTCAATATTTTGGAAACTATTAGTAGGGATGCAACCTTCCAACTTGGGGGTAAGTATTTCAATCTAATAGCTGCGTTAAATAAGTAGGCCACATATGTAACCTTTTGATATCTTTTCTGAAGCAGCTTAAGTATTATCCTGCGACTACGTCGAAGCGTGGTGCTCTTTTCAACTTTTCTTGAAATTAAATTATCATACCTTTTAGTTTATTATCTTGTGTCTGCTAAATTTTCTGCAAAGGTGTCAACTTTCTGTTTGTTTCCTCCTTCCCATTCTTCTAATTCCTTAATAATGCCTCTTGGGTTCACATTCTCTTGCCAGTGGTTTCTTGCTACTCATTTGTCTTTGACAAGGTCATGGATACCTGATAACTACTTGTTTCTTTTCGAAATATGTTTTGTTTCTCTGGTATTATGTTAAGCAAAAAGCTATATATTCCCAAATCATATTTCAAGGCAACTTCCACACTACGTGTGCATATCACCCTTAGCTAATCACTGTCCAGCATTAATCTGTCTTCCAATTCCTCATATTCTTCTTCTGCGTTACCAATCTATATCGCGGGATCACCATTCGATCTTCCTCTAACAAATCTTTTCCAATTCTCCATCTTTGTTTCTAGAATTTTCTGCTTACCCGTTTTTCTGCGTCCTCATCTCTTTCACTAGGTCCTTAATGATCTTTTCATCCTGGCTTTCTTCCTCTCTGCACCTCCCTCATTAGTCTCCTACAATCTTTGCCTTGTGCCTATGAAACTCATAAAGTTAACTACTTGGATGAATCCGTCATAGACTTACCAGCCCTAAGAAAAACCCCGAAGGTCTATACGTCATGATGGTGTACACAAATAAAAGGGATGTTTTAGGGGTTAACAAAGAATTAAGAGTAGTTCAGTATAACTTGCACGAATAATTCAATTCTAACAACTTATTTGTGTATGTAAACATGTAGGAATAATATACTACTCCAATTTAGCACCGATGTTATGACAATTAGGAGAATCTTAACCCTTAAGCGCAAAAAAACCGTAATTATGCTGGATTGAGCACTAACTGGCAGTTACAAAATTATGGTTACGACTTCATTAACTACAATTTTATTTTTATCATATAAAAAGTCTTCCGTAAAGAGGCAGGATGCAGTCATGTCACGAATTTGCAAAATGAAGAACGAAGTTCAGGAAGATTTTAATACGGCTAATAAACTCTTCAAAATAAGTCTAAACGGAACTAATACAAGAGTAAGCAGTTGAAATAAAAATAAATCATAAAAAACGTGGGATGCGTAACAGGATGTTTGTGAAGAAATCCAGCAAAGTCTCCCGCTTTAAGAAGGTGCTGGTTTCGAGTGCAGAATGACGTTTTGTCTCATTAAAGAAAAATGATTATTTTTATACCGATACCCCTCAAGAAAGTCTTCTGAGGAGTCTACATTTCTCATGTGTAAACAACTGAAGATGAATTTGGACAAAACTTTTACTTCGATTTTTTATTAAATAAAGAATGAAGTTTGAAACTGTTCAATTCCATGTTTCAGGGTTGAAACTTTGTGAAATTAATGCAGTGTTATCTGCATATGCAAATATGTGGAGATATAACTGTAGAATGTCACTCTTGTATATGTTGAATAAAATAGGGATGCCAACAGCAATATTTTTAATAAATTATTTACACATAACATTAAGAATACCACTGTAGATATCGATATTTCACTAAATTATTAATATCCAACATCATATACGTAGTTGTTAAATTCATTTCACGCTCGTAGTAAAAGCATAATTATGTCGTATCGTATGTAGTTAATTATAGCTATGGATTCTAGCTCAAACGTTCGGTTAAAAACCTGCACGGGCTCGAATTGTCCCTGTTAACATCGCCTGTTATTAGTGAATAATTTATCACATGGAACGTTGACAATGGGTAAGTGTTTAACACGATACAAACGCTATCTGAGCGTATGAAAGCCACGGCTCATGCAACTGGAAGAATCAATTTTTAATGAGGATTAATTGAAATTCACGTAGCTAAGCTTTTTATTCTCTTGTTACGGCCATGCATTAAAAATGGTATAAAGGAACTCTTTTTAATAACATTTTTAATAAATCAATAAAATGTGAAACTTACCGGTAAATTGATATGACGCACTAACAACTAAATTAGCAACAAGCATCAGGCTTATTACGCCACAATTAGTGGTAAAATTAGTCGTCCAACGTTCCCCCCGTTTCCCCATTGCGTTAAAATCTTGATGCCGTCGCCGCCCTATAATTTAGAAGGAAATTCATGTTGTATTGTCGTCAACGTTGTTCCACCAGATAAACGCCTCCAACGTTTATTCTACTCGAAAACAAACCACTCAACTGGCTATTAACGTTCACTTAATGGTTCACGTTTTTAATAACACTCATTTTCTTTTTCCCATCTCGACCTGAAACAAAGAGGAAAAAAGTTATCTCTTATTTCGATTTATTAAGCGTGTCTTCGTTTTTGTTTCGCGTGTTTTGAAATTTTTAAATTTACGTTCGTAGTTTTTAAAGGCGTTTGTTACGGGGATTTTAAGAAGTTGGAAACGGCGACAAACGCCGGAAGTTTTGAAATTTCAAAGCGAGTTAAGTATCATCAAAACTGCGCCCCGTTAGCACAGGTAGTGATAAAAGTTTGAAACGGAGATATCTGGTACTTCGTAACCGGAGAAATCGCTGTAAAGGACCGATTACTACCTCTTCGAATCGTTCCGTGCACTTTTGGGATACCTCTTTGGTATTTAGGATGCGATAAAACCAAGGATAAATCACCTCCTAGGATTTCGATACCGAATAAAACTAATAGTTTTCGTTCAATTTACTACACCCATAAAAAAAGTGTACACATTTTTTGGCTAAGTTTTTATTATCAAATCAAATATGATTTTTTATTTCAAATAAACATATTTTTTACTAATTCGTTAAATTGATAGATTCAAGTCACAGCGGCTATGAATATTTAATATCTCATTAAATTAATGTTTAAAGTTCACTAACTTTAATTCATTAGATCAACATTTTTAACGAAACATTTCGGCGTACTTACGTTTCATTACATTAACGATGTGTTCATTAAGGCAACACCTTTTCACATCGTAGGGACATGTCATATTTACGCTAATATCATTAGTACCAATGACATTAGCGTTGTGTTACTGGAAAGTAATAAACATTCCATTTTTGTAATATGTATTAAATTGATTAAAGAAGCTACCTTTTATAACGAATTCTTCGAAATGTCTGTAATGATTTTAAATAAAATAAGTTTTGTAATTTAGCCGTTACATTACTCAATATGGTGAAATACAATGAGCTAATTTCATGATGGGAGGTATGTCATACCATCTGATGCAAGAACATCAATCAATCAAAATAGCGCAGTACCTCAACTAGAGGTGTTAACCGATACTTGTATCTGTTCCTTTGGAACAAATATTTGTATGTTGTTAAAATTTATTAAACGCAATGATGCATTAGCAATATTTTTATTCATAACATCCTTCTGATATAGAAGGACTTATCACTAGTTTTAGTGCTTACGTTATAGTTGATATTATTCGTCCAATTTTGACATTTTGTAATTTATACTATATCACTAGAAACTGGTGATAGATAAATATGAAATAATTATGGATTATAATTTCTTGGTTCATTAGGAATATTTTTTATTCATAACGTCTTTCTCCATCAGTTTTGATACTTAAATTATAGTTGATTTTATTAAGAAACATCGTCCAATTTTGACATTTTGTTATTTATGCTATATCACTAGATACTAGTGATAGGTAAATATTAAATAATTATGGATTATGATTTCTTGGTGCATTAGGAATATTTTTTATTCATAACGTCTTTCTCCATCAGTTTTAGTACCTACGTTATAGTTGATTTTATTAAGAAACATCATCTAATTTTGGTATTTTGTGGTATATGCTATATCACTAGAGACTGGCGATAGGTAAATATGACATAATTATGGATTATCATTTCTTAATATATTAGGAATATTTTTTATTCATAACGTCTTTCTCCATCAATTCAAGTACCTACATAACGTTATAGTTGATTTTACAAAGAAACATCGTCCAATTTTGACATTTTGTAATTTATGCTATATCATTAGAAACTGGTGATAGATAAATATGGAATAACTATGGATTAGGATTTCTGAACGCGTTAGGAATATTTTTTATTCATAACGTCTTCCTCCATCAGTTTTAATACTTAAATTATAGTTGATTTTATTAACAAACATCGTCCAATTTTGACATTTTGACATTTTGTGACATACATATGCTATATCATTAGAATCTGGTGATAGATAAATATGGAATAACTATGGATTATGATTTCTTGATGCATTAGGAATATTTTTTATTCATAACGTCTTTCTCCATCAGTTTTAATACTTAAGTTATAGTTGATTTTATTAAGAAACATCGTCCAATTTTGACATTTTGTTATTTATGCTATATCATTAGAAACCAGTGATAGGTAAATATGAAATAATTATAGATTATGATTTCTTGGCGCATTAGGAATATCTTTTATTGACTACGTCTTTCTCCATCAATTTTAGTGCTTACGTTATAGTTGATTTTATTAAGAAACATCGTACAATTTTGACATTTTGTGATTTATGCTATATCACTAGAAACTGGTGATAGATAAATATGGAATAACTATGGATTGTGATTTCTTGATGCATTAGGAATATTGTTTAGTCATAACGTCTCTCTCCATCAGATTTAGAACTTAAGTTATAAATGATTTTATTAAAACAAATCATCCCATTTTGACATTTTGTAATTCATGCTATATCACTAGAAACTGGTGATAGATAAATATGAAATAATTATGGATTATGAATTCTTGGTGCATTAGGAATATCTTTTATCCATAACGTCTTTCTCCATCAGTTTTAGTACCTACGTTATAGTTGATTTTATTAAGAAACATCGTCCAATTTTGACATTTTGTGATTTATGCTATATCACTAGAAACTGGTAAACGATAAATAGGGAATAGCGATGGATTATGATTTCTCGATGTATTAGGAATATTTTTTATTCATAACGTCTTTCTCCATCAGTTTTAATATTTAAGTTATAGTTGATTTTATTAAGAAACAGTTCCATTTTTACATTTTGTTATTTATGCAATATCACTAGAAACTGGCGATAGATAAATACAAAATAACTATGGATTATGAGTTCTGGGTGCATTTAGGCATATTTTTTATTCATAACGTCTTTCTCCATCAGTTTTAGTACCTACGTTATAGTTGATTTTATTAAGAAACGTCGTCCAATTTTGGCATTTTGTTATTTATGCTGTATCACTAGAATCTGGTGATAGATAAATATGGAATAGCTATGGATTATGATTTCTCGATGTATTAGGAATATTTTTTATTGATAACGTCTTTCTCCATCAGTTTTAATGCTTAAGTTATAGTTGATTTTATTAAGAAACATAGTTCAATTTTTACATTTTGTTATTTATGCAATATTACTAGAAACTGGCGATAGATAAATACAAAATAACTATGGATTATGAGTTCTGGGTGCATTAGGCATATTTTTTATTCATAACGTCTTTCTCCATCAGTTTTAATACTTAAGTTATAGTTGATTTTATTAAGAAACATCGTCCAATTTTGACATTTTGTTATTTATGCAATATCACTAGAAACTGACGATAGATAAATACAAAATAACTATGGATTATGAGTTCTGGGTGTATTAGGAATATTTTTTATTCGTAACGTCTTTCTCTATCAATTTTAGTACCTACGTTATAGTTGATTTTATTAAAAAACATCGTCCAATTTTGACATTTTGTGATTTATGCTATATCACTAGGATTTGGAACTGTTACTTTTTAGAAATAGGAACATATTATATCAGTTCCCCAAAAATACTAGTTCGTAACATCTCTAATCGCAACCGTAACCCTCTCTAAAACCAAACTAAGGCTTTAGGCAGAACTATTGGTTAAACAGATATATGTTTGCATGCCTGAACACATAGATAAAACATTAATCTACATTAAACTCCTTAATAAGACTGCGAAATTTGTTGGAAATAAGAACAACGATTGCTTCTTTTTAATTGGAAGGAATTATAAACAAAATATTTCTGCCTAAATTAAATGCTACCTATAAGCATTGAATCTCTATTACTTTGCAAGAAAGAGAGCAGCCTTCCTCGAATTATTTTGTTCTGCTTTGTTTAATAGTATGTTATTATATGTAACGGTTTTTGTAAAGTTTTGACGTTTCCTAAATTGGAGAAGCTGATTGAAGACCACCCAAAAATTCGAAGACGAAGAATTGTAAGTATTGTTGGACGAAGCCCAGACTCAAGAGCAATGTCTTGATAAGATAAAAGTGGCTCGACAAGCTGTTTCTCTCCGTTTGCATGAAATGAACAAGATCCGGAAAAAATGAATATGGATTCCATATCAACTGATTGAACAGCACATAGAAATGTGAAAAACAACATTGGAAATTTTGTTGGAAAGGCAGAAAAGGAAAACTTTTTGCATTGCATAGTATCTAGGCCAACCAACACCGTTTATTGGTACTTATACAGTTTAAAAAAAATTATTCTTTTCTTGTTTCAGTTCATCTTA